TGCTGTTGGTCCATGAAGGCACTGAGAGGCAATCACATGTAATGATTAGAAGCAGGGTCCCTGAAACCAAACTGTGCTGAGTTACTTACCACCCGGGCATGTTAATTAACTTCTCTGGGCCTCAGCTTTCTCATCTATAAAATGGGGGTATTATAACTTATTTTGTGAAGGAGTTATAAGGATTAGTTGAGTTATATAAGTGTTAGCTATTACTGTGGAACATTCCGCTCTTGGAGCATTGCTATCAAGCTGCTAATATTGTTAATTGGTCTCCCAGTTAATGTTCAGAGAATCAATACCATTGTGAAATTTAAAAAAAATTCAGGGGCACCTGGGTGGCTCAGAGGGTTAAGCATCTGCCCTCTGCTCAGGTCATGATCCCAGCGTCCTGGGATCGAGTCCTGCATCGGGCTCCCTGCTCAGCAGGGAGTCTGCTTCTCCCTCTGCCCACTGCCCCCCCCTCGTTCTCTCTCTTGCTCGCTCACTCTCTCTCTCAAATAAATAATAAAATCTTTTTAAAAAAATTCAACTACTGCCCTGCCATTGAATGTGCCACACAGTTGTCCATGTAGGAAGAAATTGCGCTACTGGAAATAAATGCCTGTGATTCCATACCACCTGCCCTGGAGTCTTTTGTAAGACTATGGACTCTGAGAAACAAACAGGGTTTTAGAGGGGAGGGGGGAGGGGGGATGGGTTAGCCCGGTGATGGGGATTAAGGAGGGCATGTACTGCATGGAGCACTGGGTGTTACACGAAAACAATGGATCGTGGATCACCACATCAAAAACCAATGATGTATGGTGACTAACATAACGTAATAAAATTAAAAAAAAAAAAAAAGAACTATTTATTTCACTCCCCACAGCATCTTTATCTCTATGGTCGGTCTCACTGTTTGACAGACATGTGGATTCTTGCCTGCTTATCTATTTGAAAGGCACTCCCAAGTGCATTTTGCGTATGCTGTTTCATGTGTATCCTGAGCATCTGAGTGCGCCAGAAATCTACGTCACTGTTGTGTTGTCACACAGTGACAAACAGGAAGTTGATTTTATTTTTATTAATTTCATCCTAAGAACACTTTCAGAAATAGTTCACTTTGAAAGCTACATTTCAAGTACTCCTTAATAAGATATGTTCAGCTCTTTCCTTTGACTAAAATATCAACCTGTATTATTTTTAAGTGTGTGTTACTCAAAACATATGCGTTTTTGTTTTTTTTTTAAATGCCTTTTGGTGATGCTGTGAGAATTTTTTAAAGATTTTTTAAAGAGAGTGCGGGGAGAGGGAGGGGTAGAGGGACAGGGAGAGGATCTCAAGCAGACTCTGCACTGAGCACAGAGCCCAATGCAGGGCCTGATCCCACAATCCTGAGGTCATGACCTGAGGCAAAACCAAGAGTCAGATGCTTAACTGACTGAGCCACCCAGGCACCCTGAGAATTTTTTATTGTTGCATCTTTTCTGGTGCTCAGCAGTTAATGATCTGTCCAAAGCTATCTTTGCTGAAGGGCAGAAGAATGACTTAGAAACTATTCTGTCATCTTTTTAAATAGTTTAGCTCAGTTTGGCAAGGCTGCTGGCCAGAGAGGGAAAAATTCACATCTGAAATGTTTAAGGAAAGATATCTGTTTAAGTGAAAGTATTAAAAAATAAAATGAAAATGGATTTCTTTTAATTGGACTAATGTTTTACCAGGCACTTTTAACTAAAAAAAAGAAAATGAGAATTGACTCTGGTGATAAAAGGCACTGGTGATTGTTTTTACTCATTTTTTCTTAGCTGATGAAAGTGTGTAGGGGGCAAGGGATTCCCCAGGAGGGGGTGTGAACTAGCTGAAAAGAGGCATTAAACAATTGTACAGATTTAGGTGAATTCATCCCAACCCAGATGCTGGTCCTCCAGAGGCTCAGAAATTTCCTTTGGTTGGTGTACAGAGAACAGATTAGACATAGGTTCAAACGCAACCAAACACAGAGCGTTCCATTGGCAGGACCAGGGCTCTATGGTAAGCCAACTTACAATCAGAAGTGTCCAGGCGGAAGTGAAATTCAAACAACAGGAAATGGTTGTATGATTTGCATCATTAATATCGAAATTTGCCAGACTGAGGCCCCATCCCTCAACATGGAACATGTGCAACAGGGAATAAATGGGTTACTTTCATTTTGAGGCCCAAGTGTTTTCCTTCTGGTCAGAGCCTGGATGGGCATCATTGGCATCTAGCTCCTTAGATCTCCTTTGTCTATGCCCAGGCTCACTGTCTCCTCTTCCTCACCCCATCTTTCTCCAGAAGGACTGTCATCAGTTAGATTGCCTCCTATTAAATTATAATCACAGTCCAGTCCTCCCTCCTGGAGGAAACCCCCTCATTTTCTTGATGAAGTTTTGGCTCCTTCTAATCTCCTTGACCACTCATTTATAAATCCGTTCTCTTCAGTCCTGGTACAGATGAGCAAAAATCTATTTAGGGCTAATTTTGTTAATGAAACTCTCCCAGGGCGGTTTCCTTTCCTTTATACCTTTGCATGATTTCCCATCTTCTCTGTCACTTTCCAATGCTACCCTGTGGTGTTACTGTGCTCCCTTCTTTTATTCTCCTCACTGGGCAGAGCCTTGGAGCTTTACAGGGCAGATTGGCATTTACGATCCAAGGCAAGGACAGCCATAAGCTTCAACTCAAATATTTTGGTGGCCCCCAAGCCCTTGAATAACTTCTAATCACAATTCTACAGAATATTCACATAACGGCATTCTAAATCTGACATTTCAAATATAAAATACATTCTAAGTGAACCTGTCTGTAATGGTAGGATATTCATCCATTGAAAACTACCAAGTGGCTTTTCCATTTCAGTGTGAGACCAGATGAACCACAAAAGGGGTGGAAAAACCGGTTGTGTTCTTTATCTGAGGAGACCACCGTTGACAATGATGCGAAAACCAAACCATTAACCTTTCTGAAGACCCCCTTTTGCTCTAACCTTGTTGCTTCCTGTTCACGTCAACTTTGGGACTCTCTCATCTCTGCTACCTCTAGGATTTTGAAGATGGAGGAAAGGCCTGGGGTCCTTCTGGAAAGTCTGTACTGACCAGGGCAGTTTCTCAGAGGGGGCTAGCCCTTGACCTATCAGAAGAAGCTCATTTCTGAGTCATTTCAGCCAAATTATGGTTTGGTGTACAATGTATAGAACAAACACCTGGGGGCTTTGGAAAGCTAGGCTCTGGACAAGATCCTGTCCTTTCAGATTTCCTGAGATTTTGATGTCAGCCTAGCCTTATGACAACTGGGAGGCCCCAAAGCAGCCTTTGGATATCTAGTTATGCTTGGAAACCTGGCTATAACCAAGCAAACCAAGTGTAACTTGCACATAGACTGTAATTCATAGACCTGGGAGTCTGAGGGACAGTGTCAGGGGATGACACTGAAGGAAACTGAGGGACAGTGTCAGAGGAGAGGCCACAGGCCTAGAGTCTTCATTCTTATGGGGATGTACAGAGAGAATCTATGTACCAAGCCAATGGAAGAATGTGCTCAAGAGTTAGGGTGAGGGGGGCGCCTGGGTGGCTCAGATGGTTAAGCATCTGCCTTCAGCTCAGGTCATGATCCCAGGGTCCTGGGATCGAGCCCCACATCGGGCTCCTGGCTCAGCGAGGAGCCTGCTTCTCCTTCTCCCTCTGCCTCTCTCCCTGCTTATGCTTTGTCTCTCTCTCTCTCTCTCTCTCTCTCTCTCTGTATCTCTGTGTCTCAAATAAATAAAATCTTAAAAAAAAAAAAAAAAAGGGTAAGGGACAAGGCCCAGTGAGCTTCTTATGTTGACAAGGGGAAGTTTTGGAACATCTATTTTATGTAATACATACCTAGAATAATTCACAAATATGTACCTCCTGAGATATAGTCATCTTGACAATAAAACATTATCCAGTATGGTTGAAGTTCCTGCGTTCTCTTTGATTATATCTCTGAATTCCCCTTGAAATCCCTTGTATTGATCCTACAAATGTATATATTCCTAAATTAGATACAGTGTTGTTACAAATTTTTTTCTTTCACATATATGCTGTCATTCTGCATGAAGTCTTCTGTCACTTGATTTTTTTTTTTTTTTCATTCATTGCTGTGTTTGTGAGACACATTCCAATGAATAACATTCCAGGTAGCACTGATTCATATTTGTTTTGTCAGCAGTGCTTTTTTTTTTTTTTTTTAAGATTTTATTTGACAGAGAGAGAGAGACAGCGAGAGAGGGAACACAAGCAGGGGGAGTGGGAGAGGGAGAAGCAGGCTTCCTGCAGAGTAGGGAGCCCGATGTGGGGCTCGATCCCAGGACCCTGGGATCATGACCTGAGCCGAAGGCAGACGCTTAACGACTGAGCCACCCAGGTGCCCCTCAGCAGTGCTTTTGATGCAGTGGTCCTAGTTGTGGGGAGGAAGGGAAGGAATAGGAGGGAGCCAGTTAAGGGACAGTCCAGGCTGTGCACTTAGTGTCCTGCAGTGGTGACTCCGTTTACCCATGGGTCAGCTGCAAGGGTGGTAACAGGACCTGGCTGGTAAAGGAAACTAATTATAAGGGAAAAAGCTGAATTTGCACAGAGAATCTGGAATCAACTAAATATAAATAATATTTCATGGCAACAAACATACACAGCAATTATTTAATAATTGCATGTTTACGATTCAAATTTTTTTGAGTTAAGTATGTCACTATTTCAAACATTAGACAATGTGTGTGCTATTCAGGAAATGGCCTAATTAACTTTCCTACCTAATTTTTCTCTCCTTTGCTTTCTCTATCTTCCCTGGGTTTTCTGGATTCTGCCCCACCAGATCTGATTCCTGCCTTGTGCTGTTCTGAAGGATTGGTGTTCGTCATCATCGGTGAAACTTAGCTGCCTCCCTGACTGGACACCACAGCAAAGGGGCTTTGCTGATCTTTCTGTTAGAACAATAATGACTTTCTTGGAATGTAATCCCAGTGGTGTCTCTTTTTTGTGTAGCCCGGAAGAATACCTGACTACCATCGGCACTTCTTCAGAGACCTTATAAAAACCACTCTGCCGTCAAACACAACTGAGTGACTCTGGGCTGTTCAGGAGGGCCTTAAGAACTGTGGCTATCGATTCACCTGGAAGATTCAACCACTGCTACCCAGAGCTGCTGCTGGAATACCATGTCTAAGAACTCGGAGTTTATCAATCTGTCATTTTTGTTAGATCATGAGAAGGAAATGATCCTGGGAGTCTTAAAGAGAGATGAATACTTGAAAAAAGTGGAGGACAAGAGAATAAGGTAATATTTTTTAAAAACTTTTCTGCCTTTCCTGACTGTTGTCTGTTTGAAGCCAGTTAGATCAGAAATTGGACAACTGCGACCATGCTGGGGACAAATGTTGGTCAGTGACTTCATGGGCTCCCAGCAGTAGCCCAAATACCAGAGCACGTCTTTGATATTTTATCATTAGCTAGATGGGCGGATGGAATCGAGCAGATAATATGATGCTGATGAGAATGCCCATTTGCTAATAACATCCTAAGTGGCAGTGAAGTAGAAGGACCGCCTTCCACTTTGAATACCCGCTCTGAGATGTATTAGTTTTGTGACCTTGATCTAGTGACTCAGTTTCTCCATGCCTCGGTTTCCTCATCCCTAAAACAAGGATAATAAAAGTGCCCACCTCATAGGATTGTTGCAGGGATTAAGGAAGATAATACATGTGCCGTGCCTGGTATGTAAGTTCACAATTATTTATTTATAATGCCTTTCTCAAGTCAGTCTTTTTTTTTTTTAAAGATTTTATTTATTTATTTGACAGAGAGAGACACAGCGAGAGAGGGAACACAAGCAGGGGGAGTGGGAGAGGGAGAAGCAGGCTTCCCGCGGAGCAGGGAGCCCGATGCGGGGCTCGATCCCAGGATCCTGGGATCATGACCTGAGCCGAAGGCAGACGCTTAACGACTGAGCCACCCAGGCGCCCCTCAAGTCAGTCTTTTTGGGAATTCCTTCCCACCATAGCTGAGAGCAGAAGGGGATCTGGATGGATATTAAGGAGGGCACGTTTTGCATGGAGCACTGGGTGTTATACACGAACAATGAATCATGGAACACTACATCAAAAACTAATGATGTACTGTGTGGGGACTAACATAACATAATAAAAATATATTGCTAACCAAAAAAAAGGAGGGGATCTGGAGAGTGAAAAATTCTCATTTTTACCCCAGAAATGGCCTGAATTTTTAAAAATAAGTTTCTGTGTGAGTAACGTTGAGTAATATGGGGACAGTTTAGTTTCCCATCAGTTGGGGGCGAGGTTGCTATCTAGCGGGATCCCCAGGCATGACCTCACCTGTGTTTCAGCTAGCATCCATTCTGATTGGTTGCATCACCTCTTCCGAATGGTCCCAGCGTTGTTCTGATTGGTTGTCACATCCACTGGGATTGGTTGCTGCTTGTGCCGTGCTGCTTGTTAAATATATTTGGCTATTACATCTCTCCCCTGACTTGAGGAGCAGAAATAAACAGAGTTCCCTTCTCAGCGACTACCTACTGTGCAGCAGGTAGCTTTTTTGTCTTACGTGTCTCCCAAAACTGTGATCATTCTGACCACAACGCTGTGAAACCGGAAGTCAACCGTAAGAAAAATTCTGGAAAGACCACAAAAGATTATTTTATTTTTTATTGAGGAGAAAACCTGTCTTAAGGTTATCTTTATATGTTGCAAAGATATTCAGTGTGCCTAAAGGAACTAGGATCCTAGAATTGGAAATACATTGAAATATTCTCCATTGATGCTTAATTCATAGTTAAGAGCCCAGAATTTTTATTTCCATCATTCGTAGGTATTCAACCAATCTTCAAGAAATAAAGGCTTTGATGAAAATTATTGCAGTTTTTCTATGCCTGGAATTCAGGTTAAGGCAGTTAATGATTTTTAAAGATATCAGAAATGATGTTTTTGGGTTTTGTATTCCAGTCATGAAAAGTGACTAAATTTTCTAATGTGCTGCAAAAAGTTATATTGTTTATGGGAGGTGAGGTACTAGCTAGTAACTGATGACATGCATGGGGGAATTAAAAATCACTCTATTCAGGGGGGGTGCCTGGGTGGCTCAGATGGTTAAGCGTCTGCCTTCGGCTCAGGTCATGATCCCAGGGTCCTGGGATTGAGTCCCGCATCGGGCTCCCTGCTATTCGGGGAGCCTGCTTCTCTCTCTGCCTCTGCCTTTCTGTCTCTCTGACTCTCATGAATGAATGAATGAATGAATGAATAAATAAATAAATAAATAAATAAATAAATAAATAAAAAGTCACTCTATTCAGGAAAACACAATTTAATAGCCGCATCCTCAGAAACGCAGAAGTACAATGTATAGGAATTTGTTCAGAATATTTGCTTCTATCATTCCCAATAACTTTTCCTAATAATCTGTTATACTCTCTTTTCCTTTTTCTGTTTCTTCCCTTGTCCTTTTTCCTTATTCTCTGTAAAAAAATTTAGCCAAATGTATAATATACAACAGAACTATTGAGAATAAATTTGCTGCTTTCCTACCTCTTCAAATGTGTTTGAGGAAAGCAAAAGAAAGGCTTTGATAGATCTAAGTGGTACCTTTATAGAAAATAGATTTTTTAAAGCTGCTATATCTTCTTCTCTTCTTTAATAGCAATAGTGGCTAATATTTTATTGAGTTGTTTTTTTTTTTTTTCTGCACCAACTGTATTAGATATGTTGTCTCCTTTTGTTCTCAGCTACCAACATATGAGCCTAGGTCAGATGACTCAGGCTCTGCCACTCTTAATAGCTTTGTATATTGAGAAGCCACACCAAAGTGAGTGGCATGGTGTTTAGAGTGTGTGCTGTTGAATCACATATCCGCATTTGTTGATTCACATCTCAGTTACACCATGAAATCTTGTGTCACTTTAGATAAGTTGCTTCCATGAATACATCTAGTTCCCTCATTTGACAAAACAGAAATAATAACATTAGGCACTTCAAAAGGTTGTTGTAGGGATTAAATAAGCTAATATTATCAAGAGCTTAGAAGAATGCTGGCATACAGTCAGTACTTAATAATTGCTGGCTATAATCCTCAGCCCTATCATTGGTATGTGTTGTAGTGAACACTAGCCGTGCTCCACTGAGCTCTGCTCGGGTCCCTTGTGGTCTGTGCACTCAATCTCCCAGTTTCCACACGTTTACTGCTAAGGGTGGTGTCTACTACCTTCTTTAGAGGACTACCCTTGGGTGGCTAGAGTTGCCCGTAGAACTAGACATCCACAAGTACCAGGCAAACTTGAGTTTCTGTCCCTACTGGGCAGCCCCAAGCCAATGGCTGACAGACTGCAGTGAAGCTTCTGCCTCATAGCTTCCCGTGGAATCATGCTGAGGCTGGACTTCACCTAAAGACCACACCCTTACTTAGCCCCTCTCCCCTTTTCTCTCCTGCCTCCCCTATTCCCATTTATGTTCCTCCTGGGAGTACTCCGTAAGTCGCTTACACACAAATCCACATCTCAGAGATAGCTTTTGGAAAGCCGGACCAAGAAATTTGCCAGACCAAACAGGGAACATAATTGCTGTTGCAGTAATTGTTTTTACCATGTTATAGAAGTACAAGTTGATATTTTGTCAGTGTCTAGAGGAAGTGGAATTAATTACGAATAAGACAAAAATTGAAGGAATGGTTTCACAGAAGAGCTAACGCTTGAGCTTGGCCTTGAAATGTGAAAAAGATTTGACAATCGGCACTTACATATCAACTGCGTTTTAGCTGTTTACCATGAACCACAAAATTGCCTTCAGATTCTGCTAATGAGTTTCAGAAGGAAATGGAAGACCAAGAAAAGTTTTAAGAATTATGATGATTACAGAGAAGTAAACGATTCGGAAAGTTAGTAAATTGGACTTTGGAAAGCAGTGGATTTATTGTTTCTTTGTGGTGTGTTTATTCGTTTCAGTAGGTTATTCGTAAAATAGAAAAATAGAAGAATGTAAAAATTGTGTTGAATCAGTGCTTTAGGCCTGATGCCCAGCTGTGCTCTACAGTCCACATAGCCCCGGAAGTGTGACATTAGTTAAAGTGGGACTGGTCTCTGGGTGTTCCTGAAGGTGCTCTGCACCCAGAAGGACACATGGCAAGCCTGATACTTACCTCCAGGCATGAACTGTAGGCTGGGAAGAGGTGTCCACCTACTAACAGAGCATTTTAGGTTCACCCAAGAGGCTCCAATGTATTTGTTTTCCTTCAGACCAAACAGGAAGAAATGGTAGGAGATATCTAGACCCAGGTTTCAACTATTACAGAGTAGGAGTATTTTAAATGTTCTCTGTGAACAAATCACTTCGTTTTGCTGATGGCTTTAATGCAGTGAAAAAAGAGGGAGGAAGTGATGCTAATAAAATTGAGCTATCAACAGTGAATGCAAATGGGAAAAATAGAGTTTGGAAGCACAAAATAAAGATCTTTGTTGATCATTTTTTCTAACTTTGGAAGAGCTCGCCCTAACATAAAAGAGGACATGGTTCATAGTATCTACTCCTAAAAAATATCTCACTAACAAAATCTTACTCTGCTTGATCTTCCACACCTAAAAACAAATGTCTACTTTGTGGTATTGGCCTATATAAGAAATCTTCAATTTATAATTTTAGCAGTTCATTTGGACTTTATTCTTACTGAGAAGATGTCATTTCCATTTGGCCACAAGAGATGAAAACGTATCTGGACTTAATGTTCTCTTTGGCACCTATTCTTGGGCTTGTCTCAGTAATGAACTCTGCTGGTCGCCTTACAGCATACATTTCTCTTTTCTTCCTCCCTACCCAAATCTTGATTTTACTCAGCTCCAGCAGTGGATTTTTAAAAAATAATTAATCATCCCTTGACTAATAGTCCTCTAGCAACTGTCACTGGTCTGGAGGTAGACATGAGATCAAAACTGACCCACTCAAACATATAGCCCAGATTTATGGAAAGTTCTCTTTCCCACAGGACATGTTCAGTGAAACATGTTATCACAGTTGCTGTTGAGGATGAAAGCCAGCACAATGATGAAGCTGAGCCAAAAGAATGGCAGAGAATTGTTGCCAACATCCTGGTATACTGGAACCTGCCACACCACTGGACTTCTTCTATAAGCATATATTTCCATGTTATTTATAGCGACTTGAGTCTGATTTTCTGTTACATGCAGCCCAAGGCATCCTGTAATCTCTAAGATTCAGAAGTAATCAACATTTGTTGAGAACCTTCTGTAGGCCAAATGCTGTGTATTTATTATTGGAA